GTTAGTGCTGATGGTTACAGTTGCAGCTGCAGTAGCTGTTCTAAATGAACATATTTTATCACTTTAAACCCGAACTAGCATTCCCTGCGTCTTTGGTGTCTGTCGTGCTTGTAAAATGGGTACGCGTAGCTTCACGAGAGTATTATGTATGGGGGTATCTCTTATGAACAGGAGCTGACTATGTTAGTGAAACATTACGTGTAAACACAGGACGCTCTGGTAACGCTTGACGACGCCGTACGAATAATGCATTCATTATATACTTAAGCTGGAAATAAATGAATGAAGAGTATGAAATCCGGACTTCGTCTACGACGAGCGGGGTCACGTAACTACGCGAGCCTATCCGTTGGTCTGCCCTCCTGGGCATAGGCAGTCGAAAAAGTAACAGTCCCATCAATGGAATCGGTGATGTTAACGTCTAACTAATGATTACATACATTAGTTTATTCCCAAGAACAAACATTTTATCCGCTACGTGTTGCAGTGATGGCGTTAGATCATGACAGTCACGTACGTTGATAAATTACGGGTCACGTGGTAAGCACGTGTCCGTTTCCAATAAAAGGTCATATTAACTAACTGACTAACGGGGCGAACGTTTGCGGTGATGATCACGAAAGACGGTATACTACAGATGTACGGGCTTGAGCGTGAAATGATGAAAAACGGGACAATAACGTATAATGCGAACAGCGGACATATTTGCTTGTGCTAATTGTATTACGTTAATAGACACGTGAAACGATTCAACCTCACCCCGTTTTCTACGTTAAGTTCCTCGATTTTGCGACTCCGCGGACAACTGTTAGTTATTCATGTAACGATCTTATTTTGAAAACGACAGTTTAAAACAGAACTCTGTTAGGAGAGAATCGACGTTAAACAGAAAGAAATGGCCACAGATAGGAAATCAGCAAAACCTCTAATACAGATAGGGGAACGGGACAGGGTTTTTTTAAACTTCGACTTCTTGCGCTGCGTGTTGTCAGTGTTGCCTTCGTTCGACTGCTATCGTCTGTGAGATCGATTATCAGTTCCAGGGAGCATGACGTTGAAGACTTTGCTGACGACCACAAAGCGAACATATATCAACATCGCCGAATTAAGGGATTATTCCGACCGAGATCAACACATCTATCAGAACCATTACGAACAGGATCGATGCAATATTAACACCAATAGTGGCACCATTCTTGTACTGTCACATGTTCCCCCAGGATAGACGTCGACTTCCCTAAACCAAACGATGGGACAACGCACAGACCAACTGGCAACAGGAGAGCCGCATCATCACAGTCGCCTTTGTCTTCGATGACTGATGGCAGCAAGAGTCACTGTACCAAATGGATATTGCCATGACTTTAGCTGGTTCTATGGCCGCTGCAGTTGAACGGAGCGTCCTAAAAGTACGCGTGACATTCGGGTACTTCCTTAAAATTGGCATAAAAGAAGCTGCAAACAGGCATCGCTTTCTATTATTCTAGCTCGGAATTAGGCTGTGATAGAAAGGGCAGTATGAAAAACCTCGTCACTGTTTCCACGGTGAGTGTTGGTAATCGCTTTGACCCACGAAAGTATTACCACAATAAGCGTATCGCCAGCGAGCGCACGTACCGCCTGCATCTACAAGCGCTGAAGGCTCGCGCTAACTGTACTGATATTAGCAATAATGGGTTATTAATGCCAAACGCCAGCAGTCGCCTCTACTTGTCACTTCTGACGCCGTTCTTTCGAAGAGACATATACAGATGTATTATTAAGCCGACAGCAGCAGCGGCGGCGGCGGCAAAAACGCACGGGAGTAATATAAACAGGGAGCGTTCCCATCACGTCGACGGCGTCATCCGGCAACAACGACCCGCACTTTGTATGGGGCGACAGCTCCCAGAGTCTTAATAGATCAAGTTCTCAGTGACACCTTTACCTCAAAGTAATAAACACACTGGCGTCTAAGGGCGAACCATTGAAGGGACGGACGTCTGACAACAACACTAACGAGATCTCATTCCACCAACTCGAATATTTCTTAGCCGTAAAACATTGCAGAGTTATGTCACCAATGACGCATTTATGTGGTATAGGTAATTAATATTCAAGTTTCGTAGTTTGCTACACAATGTATGGCTCAACTGTATTTTGCCGCACCGACGTTCTAGCTGCCCATGGTGAAGTATCTACCTCCGTGTATAAATTAGAGAACATGATAACATAGACGTTCCCGCTGTGCCGTGTGTATTTTACGCACATAACCGCTTGTTCTTTGCTGAGGCGGATATCATATCCGAACAATTTTGTTATTCAATAAGTCAGGATGACCCCTTGCGCAACAATATCGCATTATATTTGACTTTCATATTTATCTTCTTCCTTGGTGACGCTAAAATGGATCAGGAAGCAGCCAGACAATTTGACGACTAAGATTACCCAGTCAAAGCAGACCGTGTGTTATTACACACACAGTAACTTCTTTGATGGCAAATATGCATTTTGTGTCAATGGGTATTCAGCAGGGAAAGAGGAACTCGTTAAAGAATAGGCCACCAGCGTTTATAGGCCAGTTTGTTACAGTCACGGTTTACGCGCGCAGTGACGGGAGGACTTTGCTAGTTGGCAACTGAGGACGGCTATTGGTGCTTGCAGGTGGTCCGTCTTAATTTCTGTACCATTCGATTATCTATTGTGTGGAATTATCGCTCGTCAACTAATAATGATATGTATCTTAGCCCGAACTTGGTACCACGGGTGGTGGTGGTATACCTTCATGAAATTTGGCAATTGGACTAGCCGTGAACGACGTGGACGCCAATCGGTGATCTAGATAACGATTACATCGTGGCGCTCTGCTGTCTTGGCGTGACTGGCCATTGTTTATTCACGAGAGTGTATCATCAACGTCATTATCGTAGCATATATTACGTATATAAACTGAGAATAGTAACGCAGCACCAGCAGCGGTCGTGTTAGTCCAAAGAGACACTTGTTCGGTTAGCGAAGCCTCTTCTCACACGCACAGCTTATGCACAGGGACCATACTATGTGTTCTTACTCACGATAAAATAATGATAACATTAATAATGGCCACTCACGGACCATCTAGTCATGCAACCGTGCGAGCTTCGACCCTCTCCCATGTTGCTTCCCAAATTTTTACATGATGAACGGAACGGTGCCGATAATGGTAGCTACGTAAATGATCCAGCCAAGATCACTGTTAATAGTACGATAGAAATTAGTAATCATAACAATGACTATTGAGCTAATACCAAGGTTCGATTAGTACCTAGGCGGATATTACGTCTATAGTACAGAGGCAAACAGACAATACGGGCCAATGTGCCTCTAGGCCAAGAATCCTTCTAGAGATTGAACTTGTGATGGGCTAATGGGACCAGCTTCAACCAACGAATTCATGGTCAATGTGCGTGACATAAAAATTTCTTGAGCGTTTAGGCCGAATAAGAATTTTGTAATTTTTGCGTCTTTGGATAGATGAAGGCATGATCCTCGTTTATTTTTTATGTTCTGTGCGTCAGCAGCTGCTAACACAAGTCAGGCGACTTCAAATTTCGTTTAATGCCATTGACATATTCAATGTTTTCGTATCCATTTCGGTCACATGTCGAACGACGAATACCAGCGGCTGACCGGACTATCGACTCGGGAACAAGCGATGGACGGAAAATCATCATCATCATAACAACAAGAACCCCGAAACAAGGCGCACTTCACTAAGCTACGCCCAATGCCCAAAAACTAATTGATCTTAATATTCCAATAATTTTAATCACCATGGCAAAATCGTCGAGTGTGACCGAATTGATGCGATTTATCAATGCGTGCTCATGCATGTGAGTCTGTGTATGTATCTGTATCTGCACGTATGTGCACTAATACATAAATCTATACATCGTGATTGGATGTGCAGTGGGAACGAACGGATACTTAGTACAGGGCCCGACCGCATCCGACCATCGTCATTGGCTAAGCGGCTAGCGTTTTTCGGCCCTTTTTTCGCCTCCTTGTCGTCGTTGTCGTCGTCGTCGTCACGTTATTGCGGTCGGCTGGTGTCACCTGCTCTCTTCCTCTATTTCGTTGCTTTTCTGTCTTCTGCTGACCACCAACTACCATTGTAGCTTGTGATTTTGTCCGGTCCGGCGAATTCTCACGGAAAACTGCTCGGACACTTCACGATCGCAGTACCGCCAGTAGCACCGTCGAGGTTTGCGTTCACGTTAGTAACAGCAGATAGATAGCGGCTGTTGTCATCACCATATTTTGTGACACTTCAGATTTTCTCATGGTAGACGAAACAGCAGACGAAAAAGTAGCATTTTCCCTTTTTAAATATTCCACTAAACACGAGCACGACAAAGCATCAGAAATGACGGGCTGCTGTCGACCTGTGCGGCGGTGTGAGAATTAATGCGTCGTTCATGACAAAATAGAAAATTCGTCCGAACGAATCCCGCCTAGCCCAGGCGGCAGGGAAACGTCACGCAGGGCTAACCAGCCGTCCGGATAGAGCATATCGTAAAAACACGGCCATTATAGTAAACACGCTTAAACAGTAATATATAGTTGTTACAATTTTTGGTAATTGTTTGCCGAATCGTTACAGGGTTAAATATAACATCTCATACGGAAACGTTCTCAGCGCCAGTTCCGGATGCTATCTCTTCTGTTGCAACCGTTACCATTATGACGCCTAGGATTTCTGCTACAACGGGCGGTTTCGTGACGGTCATACTGACCCAGATGTGGCTGTCGTGCTAATGTTATCGATGAATGCTTAGACACTTACAGTATTTTAGTTAAACCAAGATAGATGTAGGCATGCAAATGCTGCTGCTGCTGCTGCTGGCTGTATTCGTATGTGTAGTTGAGATTGCTCGACGGAACACTGACTTAGGCGGCACGATATCAGTCGATAGAAGAACACAAAAATCCTTAGATCTCTATCGTAATGTCTATAATATGATCCTAATGCTGCTACTCACGGTTTGATCGTTGTCGTACGTAATTTCGTGGCCAGTAGGTTCCGCTGATCGTGTCGTAGAATCAGTGCCGGCCTACAATAGCTCGAAATTAAATTGAGCACATTCTACTGCGTTATCGAACCGGTGGGAATGTATTAAATAGACGAATGGCACACTTTAAAAATATGTTTTTTTTTTCTATATAAATGTGTCTGTGGATATTGCGCAGCGAAACTCGAGGATATAGTGGTCCCCATTTTAAAGATTAAAAATGACAACGATTATTTTTTTATTATATATATAGGCATATATATATATATATATATATATATATATATATATATATAGGTGAGTAGAAACTGTGTACAAATAGTAAAGTTATTCAATGTGCGCTTCACATTTCTGTTCCAGATTTTTTTTTTCTAAATACTGCCAAGTAGAGCTAAGTAAATAAATCGGCATTAAATATTTTGGTGTAACTTTTCACAAAAGTGTTTCGACATAATTAAGAAAAATTTGGCATTAGCAGACGAAATTGGGCGGTTACTTAGGATGGGCAGATATCTCAAACTAGAAATTGGCCATTTGATTTTTATCGCATAGAAAAAGGTTTCGGTTAAGCTTGAACATTTATTTCAATACTGCTAATAGAATAAGATGCAAATTGCTACGATCAAATCATTGTTTACCCTGATTTACACCTCTGTTACATTTTCTGTATAGAAAAAAAGTTGCATTTGCGCAGAAAAATGAACTTCTACCTGACGTATACGCTGTTGCCTGCGTTAGACCTTTACGCCTTTATAATTGCGATTAACAGTTCAACCCGTCTCCTGCCACCCCAGCGGTTACTGGCTCACCTATCGGGGTAAGCGGTAAAAAGTAAAACGATTGTAGTAAAAATTCAAGTAGCTACGAAAACAGTGGCAAACTTATATATATATATATATATATATATATATATATACTACTACTAAAATAAGCAAACACGAAACTTTTAAATCTACACGAATAAAACGATATATTATAGCAGAGAGAGATTCTCTGCTGCATGAAAATCAAAAAACTCTTGAAGGTATCAGAAACCAACAAAAAATAACAACTTTTAATGACAAAAGTCAGCTTACCTTCTTCAACTTCTATCTTCGTCACTGTTGTCTTCGGCACATAGTTTAAATATGAAACCAAAAAAAACGACACACGCCTTTAGGTGGGACAGAAGCGTCATTTTTCAATCACAATTCTACCGATTTCCAAGTTTTATGCAAACGGAACGTTTCCATGTTTCGCTTATCGCCTTAGCCGACGTATTGTCGTCCAGCAGCTGGCACAACGGGGCATGAACGGATCATCTGTTGGTGGAGCCTTGGGTTTCTCCCTATTTCGACCGCATGCGCATGTGTCTGTATAACTGTGTGTATGTGAGAGAATTTGTGTAAAGTGATTATCGTCTTCAGTAGTAACGATGCTGCTGATACTTTAATCTGCTACCGGGTATCTTGGGCGCCTTCTGTGTACAGATTATGTGTTTAGAGCGAACCCTTTCACGTTCATTTAAGTTCTCGCGGTTCTGTCGGTGCTTTCTTCCCTTTGGTTCTGGAAACCGCTACTGAACTTCGGTTCTGTTATCGCCAAGCAGCCTCTGCGCTAGTGACGCTTCCAGCTGCCATGCAATACCCAACAATATAAGAGGCGGATGAAAACACATCGCTGAAACTTGCTGCGGCCACCACCGCTTCTGATGCGGCCTTCGGGCACGGTTGTTGTATTTAACCCGACCCAAATTACTTATTAATTTAGATTTCATTATGCAGCCATTAAATTATTCTTACTACCCTAATAACGCCTCACAAATGTATACAAGAATGTTATATAAAATAGTAATAATAATAATGAGGTTATTGTCGGATAAATGGTTGCGTCTACGTTTTCGACTTTGTTGTTGGCAGCTTCAAGTTCTATCACTGACTACTTTAAGGATGGATGAAGCGGTAGAAAAACGCACGAGGCACGTCAGAGATTAAACGAAAGGCGTCATTTAGCTCTGATTCGTCGGTGACAAGCCACGCGGTAACGGCCGAATCCGTGCCAATGACACTGTCACATCTACTGCGAACGCGGCCCTGACGTGCCGGAGATGGTGGTAGGATTCAATAGAAAATCGCTTGCGCTTAAAATTACGAGTATGTATATAGTATGCGGGTAAAAACTGATGCAAGCATCCTAACTTCCTGCAGTTTTTCAGTTTCGCTGTTATTTCGCATCATAGAGAAACACGACTCACTTGGGAATACGTCATAAACGAAAAGGTGCGGTATATCATACGGGACGCTCACTATGGTTCGAGCGATGTTCGAGTACGGCATCTTGTGTTTGAACCTCACTGAGCTGCTTGAAGACGCCTGGGTTGAAAGTTCAGCTTGTCTCTCTCTAAATTTTGTGGAGCTCTCAATTGAATAGTCACTTCCATACGCTTTCTCTATCAAACAAAGGGTGATATGTATAGAAGCCTATTTTGATTTTGCTAGTCACTGCGTGTGTTGTGCGTTTATGAGTCCGTATGAACGTTCAGTAGTACTGGAAGCTATACTGCTTCAAAAGCGCAATTTAATGGTCGTTTCAGTTGGAACAAACTTGGCCCATTTATTATCTGTTTTTTTTCCCAGATGGTAGACCCGTTAGACAACAGTGCTTATCCGCGCGTGTCTGTATTACGAAAACTGAAATAAAACGCCAGCTATATAGAGCCTTCTCACGGACATCGTGTCTCCCATAAATCCAAAAAAATTCATTCTAAATTGAATCTACTTTGTAGACAGACTTCGCTGTCGCCAGCGTCGTCGATTGGCCGTTTCTTCCATGTTTGTTAACGTTACTTAAATTAACTGAATTAGTCTGTTACAGCAACTAATGCCAGCTCCAAATTCAAACAGGGAATACAAATTCACTTGTGAATTAAGCGATGAACTTGATTTCTATTTAACTCGAGTGAAATTTGAGTTAAACGACGGTTCTGATACCTTTTTTGGCATCACGTGTTGTTTATTTTGCTCTGAGCAAATCGTTCGGCCGCAATTAGTCTGGTTAGGCTGATTTGCTTGCCTTCGATTCGGGCCTTTCAGTGTAGATTAAGGTCTGCGAAGGAGTGAAGATACCTTTCATTCACGCGTAACAATCACAGCTGTCACATTAATATAATTATAGCAATTAACATTGAAGATCTAGATTAGCGGTTTATAAGTGCCTTTGGACCGGATAGTACTTTTTCAAACTCGGGCTGCAGTAAGTGACGTGATTTAAAAGCGTTTTCCCGCCCGTGCAGGTTTAACTAGAGTATAACCTACCGTCATGACCCCGCCTGCTCAAAAAGGAACCGTTAATTACGTTACTGGAAGACAAACCCAGTGCGTATTAAATAAACAAGCCTGCACTTAACAGATGACCGCAACCATATGGAGTACCGATAAACTGACATTAAATCTCAACGGCAATAATCTATCTAGCGAGGATATACATGGCGTGTCTACTCCACCTGTTGTTATTCGAGTACCCGACACAAGTAGACACACCTTCCGAGCCACAAAGTAGTGGTATCCGTTTTGTGACATTCTCAGAGTACGACTGATCGCGAGATAGGCAAATGTCACGCTTTTCATTTTCGGGCTACTTATTTGATTTATTTACTTTCTTTCTCTAAGAAGTGTGACCCAGTCGCGCAGCAAGACAAATATCGACAACATTACTCACTGTTGCTGTTGTTGCCAAGATTTTTTTCTTCTGCATGCTTCTGTATCGGCCTCGTTTTTCTTCATTATAAGCACGGTGTTTTTTTTGAAAGCAACGTCGACCCACCGAGCTCCCTCCATCTATTCAATATTGACCCTTCATTCGGCGCGTCGTTGCCATAGCTAGCTATCTAGCGACGCGTTCGTCGGTCGGTACGCGAGTCGGCCTGTGTGTACGGCTTTTTCTGCGCGTCGAAACTTTGAGTCAAAGTCAAATAAATATGTTTTATGGTATTCCATCGACAACGGCGTCAATGGCAGCCGCGTCGGCGGTTAGGGCAGTTTCCGACAAGGAGATAAGCAACGGACATGAATGAATCGAGCCAGTCGCCAATATCGGACGAAGAAAACCAAAAAGCCAGGAAGAGACATTGCACAAAATCTCCGTCGCTCTCTTATCCGCAAAACGGAGGACCTGGCCCGAGTGGCAAACGAAGGGACGAATCCATCCGCGTGGTAAAATACAATCTATCATTTCTGCCAGTTCAATAGCTTCGTCAGTTTGATTAGGTTCAGTTCTACGACGGTATAGGGACTCCGGGTGTCCAAATACTCCACACGGTTAGTTAACGCGGTGCATAATAAAATTCAACTGTGTTTTTAAGCTAGTTTAGTGGGTAGCGGGATGATTCGAGCTCGAACACAGAGCGTCTCGTAGTGAGAGTCAGCCGGTTCACGTAATGTCTACCGGCGATATCGGATGTAAAGCTAAACAATAGTATAGCCTTATCCTACTGTCAAATTACTCTTCCATATTGTGTAATTACTATTCATTAGCTCCTAATTTTTAGCAGACGCCGTAGAAGCTCGGAAGTGGGGCTGCACTTTATCACCAGAAAATACTTTTCATGTAAATAAAATTATCCCCCTTTGCAACGGTTACTATTACCAAAAACGAACTCAAAATACACGCCGAAGATAACATTGAGCTTGTATAACTGGCAACCACGTTCACAAAATGCTCTGTTTAGACATTGCTATATTTGTAAAAACAAACTGTTTATACATGCATTAATAAAAGAAGTTACTTTGGCTTAGACTATAGACCGCTAAAATTCGTCGGAGTTCCTCATCATGTACGAAAATATCGCCACGAGCGTACACAGAGAGGGGAGCGAGGAAGAGAGCGAAATTTTACTTTAAAACAAAATGCTGAAAACGCCAAATTTTAGTAACATATCAAACCGCTATAGGAAGTCGGCGCTGTTGTTAACGATGCCGGTGTTCAGCGTAAACATCACGTACCGAAGCCATCAGCAGACGTCATTCAAAAGTAGAAAAAATTCAAATGTAATAGCAAAGGCCACTTAGCATGTTGAGCGATTGACAAGAGTCAACGTCTAAACTTTTCCGATAATAGTCAGACAATATTTATCTTATTTAAAAGGTAGACAAACCATGTGGCCACGTAGAAGGTACCCGATACAACCAAGGCAGAACTGTGGTATAAAACACGCTATTAGTCGGAAGCGTCTCGTACGAATGGAAACGCGAAGCACAGAGTAGAAAATTGTCATAAGAGACACAAAACAGCAGCGTGAGAGAGTACGGCGATCCCTCTCTCTGTCACCTGCCCTGAATATAATCAAATCAGCAGGCACAAGGCACAGACCACCTCGTTGTTTCCTAGTTAGTTGTGGTCTCTCTTTTTTATCTCTCGTTATACCGTTTGCTTGCGAAACCGGTCATGACACGATACTGTTATTTGGCGGGGTTCACGCGGACTTGTTGTAGCGAGCGTCCTTTCAGCACAGGAAAACCGTACCGCCCTATAGGGAAGCTCAGCCTGCAAAAATAGAAGAGGTACAATACCTATCGCCCCTTCTTATCAGTTTTAATAGTGGTTGATTCATTGGTCTTGTCTTGTAATTGCCATTGGTCTAGACGTTAGCGTGCACCACTAATACGGTATCCAAAATCATAGTCGTCCGGTTTATACGTTTCTAGTAAACAGCTGTAATATATCGCTTTGAATTTATCTACAATGTTGTCACATTGGTGCCGCGTCTCAGCTTTTGAAGCGAAACGCTATTACGTCGCTTTTTTCAGACACAACAAACAAATCTATAATAACCTTAAAAGTAGCGCGATGACAAAGGCTGTTCGAGGAAATCTGCCCACCATGATTTAGCTGATCTGATTAGTCGACTAAACTGAATTCTGGTACAATAGCAGATTTGCAGACAATTCTGGGTAGAGACATCGATAGAACTGCCACGGAAAATGGAGCACGCATACGATAATATGCCACGATTTACTAATATATGGATAATTACGTACGATGCGGTAATATACAATTCCTGCATATACGGGAATTCTTCTACGAGTTATCGATAAATATTATAATAAAAAAAACACATGTAGATACGTTCTTAAAAAAGCCCAAGGAGGAACTTATAAGAAATTGAAGATCGACAAACTGAATAGGCACGTACTTCTCATGTGCGCGCGTTTAGGCATGTACCGGTAAGTCAGACCCGATCTCGATATGCAGCTGCAAAAGGTGTGTAAGATACGTTACAAGGTAAGTGCTAGTTAAAATGGAAATGTTTACTAAGCAAAATGTTCCAAGCTAACT